GTGTGTGTGTGTGTGTGTGTGAGAGAGAGAGAGAGAGAGAGAGAGAGAGATACATCACAGTGGAGTCAGCTGTCTTAACCGTGGCTTGAGTGCTGCAAACACATATTCATCACTGTGTCTGTCACGCGACTCGGTTCCCCTTTCGGGCTCTGTCTTTACATTTATTTTGAAAGCTGAAGCTCGCGATTATGGTAAGGGGCGTTACATTTCCGACGAGTGATTGCGGTGTTCGGCCAATCACAATGCACTGGGTCAGCTGGCCAATCAGAGCAGACTGCGCTTGTCGGAAGGAGGGACTTTGTAGAAAACGACGCGTTTGAGAGAGGCGGGGCATAGAGGACCTACAATAATGTACAGTATTTGAAAAATAATGTGTTTTTTGAACATTAAAGCATGTCAACATATTCTGTTACACCAAATACACAAAATAATGATCTTTAAAAAAGCATCATATGACCCCTTTAAGAAATATATGCTATTTTTTTTTCTGTGATGGAAAACTTTTACTGTCATTTTTGATTGATTTAATGCCATTATTAACCATTATTAACCAAGATTAACCATTATTAATTTCTTTAAAAAAACAACAAAAAAAACTTAGTGACCACAAACTGTTTAACAGTAGTGTGTAACTTACAGGTGTAATGAATGCACATTGTGAGTGACTGTTATAAGACATGGATTCAATCACACAAGCACCATTATGTTATTCATTTAGGTGTATGTGATTCAGATGAACCATTATGCTTCATTCAGTGATACAGTTTTGAAGGATGCCATCTCCCTTAATAAGAGAATATCTGATATTGATTTATACAACAGTTCCATAAACAAGCAATTCATTTTGGGTAACTTACATTTCAGAAAATATTGGCCTGGTAGTTCATGTATTTGTTCTCTATCAACACAAATTGTTAGGCAAAGCGCAGAATGCAGAAAACACAGAAAAGTAATGCAAACAGTAAAAATATCCTGTTAGAAATATCAACTCTTTCAAAACACTACTGGAAAAGATAAGAATTATGAATACAGAAAAGAGAACAGTTTAGAGTCATTACATTAAAATGGCCCCCTATTTCATTTAGCTTGTTTGTTTATTGGCTTTTTTTCAATGGTATTTAATCTGCACATTCTGCGATCTGTTTGAGTGACAAAACTAACAGCTGAAAGGTTGCAGAACCTAATACAACCATCCTCTTCGTGTCAAACCTCTGCACAGCGCTGCCAGTTCACATTCTCTTATTCTATATCTACTCTCAGTTTACCCTGAACTTCAACTCGCTCTCTGCACTTCACAATTAACTTGTTTCTACATTTACATCTCAGAAAGATTCCCCTTGATATCTCAAGTACAACATGGCTACTGTATATTATGTAAGGCAAACGATCCCTGTTATCACAACCGTTTCTGTTTCTCCAGCTGCTCTACATGCATGAAGCTGTTTCTAATACAGTCTGCAGTTGACTTCAATGAGGCTTCATCAGTCCCTCTGGTCTCATTTCCATTCATAATCTGCACTACGCTTCTGTCACTCCCCTGCTGTTCAAGAATGTCACATGGTATGTCTGAGACATCATAAACATTAGTTTAACAAGTTACCCAATACCCAAAATATGCAGATAGGTAGCAATAAATCATATGTGTTTGCACTGCAATTACTGGATTTTGATATTTACAAATGCATTCACTATTAAATCTTTTACAGAAGTGTGACACTGCTCTTCACAGTCATAGCTGTGGTGGCCTTGAGTTCTTCTGGATGAATGTGTGTGGGTGTGTGTATTTGTGAGTGTTTATGTGTATTTTTATTTTTATTTTCAAGTGGTATATTTATTTTAAGGCTTAGTGTCTGTTCTCTTATAACCCATAAATGGTTTCTGTAAACATTCAGCTTGAGTGACTTGGTATAAAATCTCTGTCATGAACTCGCCATTTTTATCTAAAAGAAACATGGCAGCAGCTACGCTTCTGTCACTCCCCTGCTGTTCAAGAATGTCACATGGTATGTCTGAGACATCATAGAATTAGTTTAACAAGTTACCCAATACCCAAAATATGCAGATAGGTAGCAATAAATCATATGTGTTTGCACTGCAATTACTGGATTTTGATATTTACAAATGCATTCACTATTAAATCTTTTACAGAAGTGTGACACTGCTCTTCACAGTCATAGCTGTGGTGGCCTTGAGTTCTTCTGGATGAATGTGTGTGGGTGTGTGTATTTGTGAGTGTTTATGTGTATTTTTATTTTTATTTTCAAGTGGTATATTTATTTTAAGGCTTAGTGTCTGTTCTCTTATAACCCATAAATGGTTTCTGTAAACATTCAGCTTGAGTGACTTGGTATAAAATCTCTGTCATGAACTCGCCATTTTTATCTAAAAGAAACATGGCAGCATGCTGTGAGAAGACCACCCAGCTCAAAGTAATATGTTACATGCTATTTTCATGAAGGATACAGACTGTAAAATAATGTTTACAAACTGTTAAATCATTTAAATGCAATACACACACCACACATTGTCATTTTTAAATAAAAAGGGCCCTAAAATATTCTTTGGAAGTGAACGTGAGACTTGAGTCCAGCAGACACATGAAAAATGTGAAAGTAAGAATGATCATTGCTTAGGTGTGCACTATGGTAATACATTTCCCTTTAGTGTCATCGTTACATTTCTAAGCAATGTTCTGTGCATTAAAGAGCAATAATGCAGCCAATCAGGAGACTTGAGAGTAGTTGTATGAATATTTTATAGTATATTCACAAAAATTCAAGAGTGCCTCAGCAAACTTCTAAGGGATCTGCAGGATGATTTAAACGAAATAATCTTACTTAATTAAATTGTAACTAATAATAATAATATAAATAAATAACAACACTTTTTTGTTATTAAAGAACATAGAATTATTTAAACATTACCGCAAAAAAATAATTTGATTATTTGAAAAGAACTGACGGGGTTTCTGTTAATAAAAATTTTTTTTTAAACTGGGCAACTTTGATAGTGACGAGGGCCAGCACTTTTTCTCCTTTATAGCAAGGTGCCAGATTACTAATCCACCTCCACACACCTTTTACACCATCTTTACTCAATTTCCTTTTTATTGAAGGAAACCACAGTATAATTAACGCAATTTGTTTTTAAAGAATTTATTAACTATAAAACGTGTGCAGTTAGGCTAATTCAAATGGGAACAATATTACCCCAACAAGCAGATGTAAACAAGCAAATGCATTGTCTGTAAATTTGCAATAAACAAATGTACAGAGGTCCTATTTTAGATTAGTGGCCTACATAACATTCTCAACACAACCTAAGAGGACAGTTAAAAAAGTGCTTTCTTTAAAAAAAATAGT